TTACTGCGAGTTACGAAATTACGTCAAGTCAGCGATATCGCGGGAAAAAAAGCATATTTACAGTTCATATTGCATTCTAATAAAAGTAATGCGAATAGACAATGGTATCATCTACAAAAACTGGGTGTACGCACCAAAAGGAGCACTAGAGTCGAGCTGCCTGCCCAACTACAGAATCCTACGGCTATCAACGAGTATTTTTTAAATTTTGCTGAAAATTCGACAATTGACCCGAATGTGATACGGTTCTTCAACGGTACAATGAGGTGTGAAAACACTACGTTTACTTTTAATGAAATCACTGAACATGATATTTACACTGCTCTTAAAAATAGTTCATCGAAAGCTTACGGACCCGATTATATAAACTTAACAATGTTAGTATTGATAATCCCACATTGTTTAGATGTTGTTTTAAAACTGTTTAACGACTGCCTGCGTAATGGAATCTGTCCAGAAATTTGGAAGACGGCTGATATTATCCCCTTAGTAAAAGTTACCAATCCCTCGACTTACAACGACCTTCGCCCCATATCTTTATTATCTCCATTTGCAAAAGTATTCGAAAAAATTATTGCTTCTCAAATTACTCGGTATTTTGAAAATTCCCACATTACACCCGTTTACCAATCAGCGTACAGGAAAAAATACAGTACCAACACAGCTCTTATGAAGGTTATAAATGACATATCTCACAGTTATGATAAATCCCCCACCATCTTGATATTGCTAGATCAGAGTAACGCCTTCGACTTAGTAAATCACGAGCTGCTCATCGCCAAACTGAAGCACCTAGGTTTTGATGACAATAGTGTAAGCTGGTTCACAGCATATCTTAATTGCCGATCTCAAAGAGTCAGAATCTCTCATAGGTCGTCAAGTTTCGCGAGAATCAAGAGAGGTGTTCCTCAAGGGAGTGTTTTGGGCCCCTTACTTTTTTCGGCATTCACCTTCGACTTACCTACAAGTCTTCATCAACTTCGATACCATCTGTATGCGGACGATTTACAACTTTACATAGAGTGTAGTACATCAAATATTGAAGAAACCATCGATGTTGTAAACTCTGATCTTCTTGGTGTACAGACGTGGTGCCAAAACAATGGTTTGCGATTGAACCCTGCCAAATCCACTGCTATTTGTGTGGGTCCTCGACTTCACTCGGAGTTGGTGTCTAGTTTTCAGTTACGTCTAATGAGCGAAAGCATACCATGGTCTACCACGGTGAAAAACTTAGGCATTAAAGTAGATAGTAGGTTAAGTTTTACTGATCATGTTAATCACATAATTAGAATTGCATATTTAAAACTAAAGTCAATCTATCACCTTAAATCTCTGCTAAATGAGTCCAGCAAGCGTAAGCTAGTCAAATCTCTTATTTTACCCCATTTTGATTATTGTTGTATGGTGTATTATTTTTTTCTCACAAAACGTGACCAAGCAAGGCTGCAAAAAACTCAAAATGCGTGCATGAGATACATTTGCAATATTCCCCTTAGAGAGCACGTCACGCCGTATTATCACAGACTTATAATGAGTTAAAAATCAAGGATCGTGTCAAATATCTATATATGATAATGCTTTATAAAATTTTACAATTTAGAATACCGTCATATTTATATCACCTGTTGATAAGAAGATCGGCTGCTCATTGTGTAAATTTAAGAACTAATTCTTTTACAATACCTAGACATAAAACTGCAAAATTCCAGGGTTGCTTCACATATGTTGCACCATCGTTGTTAAATTTAAGGTTAGATGCATTGCACATGAACTATCCTCAGTTTGTTAGATCTACTAAGAGCTTTTTCTTAGAGAATTGTAATTAATTTAGCAAGACGACTGTTTTTTTTTTATCATTTTGTGTCTTACAGGATGAATTGAAAAACGGCTTTAGGCCGAATTCATTACCTTTTGAGCTGTACATGTACAACATTATTATTTTATTTACAACATTATTATTTTATTGTTTTGTTTGTATGTATGCTCAATAAACATTATTATTATTATTATTATATTTATGGGCAAAAAACCAATTTCGACAAAAAATTCAAAGGGCTGTAACTTTTGATCTAGTAGTCCGATCTTGGAACTGTTTGGAATTATGGATTCTACAGGCCACATTCTATAAGAAAATTTTTTTCCGGGTCGATCTGAGGCAATTTTTTTTCTGGGCAAAAAAAAGGCAGTTATTACCTTCCTTTTTTCCCAAAAATCGACTGCACCAAAATTTCTCGGGAAAAAACTTTTTCTTATTAATTTGGGTGCGTAGAATCCAAAACGATTCGTACTTTTTCTATTAGACGTCTCAATCAAAAGTTATGGGCAAAAAAATTCCTGTTTTTAAAATTTAAAATTCTTATTTTCGTCATTTCGTGAAAGGCAGGACGCAGGTACCTCATCTCAGTAGCAGTACTAAGTACCTGATACCTATTTGTTATTTTGGGCATCAATGTAGCGAATTGCCGATCGATGCCGAATAGCCAAGTCGTTGACTGCCAACACTGATCACTCACTGAATAGTGAATAGTGAGTACTACAGAATATTTAGATTTTAGTGACTTTAGACTTTTAACCAAAAACCAAAATTGCTCTCTATATATACCTATATATTATTACTTTTATTTTAAAGTGGACGGAGTGGATAGCGGAGTATTACCTAAATACCTAATAGCTATGATGATAACTCAATTCTTCTGGGGAGGGGGGATATATCCCCTTCATCCCCCCCCGTAAATACGCCACTGCTTATTAATCCGAGGCGTAGTAGGAGGTCAATGAATTTTGTCTGTCAGGTTTTTTCCTGCATTGGCAAAATACTGATTCATATGGTTGGCCAGATCCATTTCATTTTCAATAATGGCATTATTAGGCAATTTTCATTTAGTGATACAGGACCTGTCTTCTCCACTTTGTCTATTACTACTACTACTAATTGAGTGAACGACTTTCCATAGACCTTTATTAGAATATTTATTTTGGTTAACTTCGCGCCTATACTAGTTCGTTTTTGTTACTTTAAGTAGTACTTTTAGTTGATTTCTACTTATAGGTTACAAATTCATGTCTATAGTCCAAAATAATGATTTGCGCATGACGTGAACAATTAATTAACTGATTAGTGCAGTCATTATTAATCGAAATGTAGTAGATATAGGTAGGTGTTGAGTTGTAAATAAAGTTTTTAAAGTCATCTTCAAGTGGTTCTTTTCCCTAAATGTCCTCTCCAGCAGAGAGAACATTACATACTTTCGATTCTAATATTTTTGCTCGTTGATTAACCTTAATTATCGATTGTGAAACCGGCCATTACCTTATAATCAAAGGTGGCTAACGTTCTAACCAATGATTAACCTTACCTTCGTTTGTAAAATCGGGCATTATTGTTTTATTTCTATATCAAGTACCTATATGAAAATAAACAGTCAAAAGTAGAATAGAAGCTTTCGAAATGTGAGCTTGAAGCTTGTACAAGAAGATAGAGAAATGTGGAAACAGAGAAGATGAGAGAATAATAGGGCACGTGCTCAGACGCGGAGTATTAGTATAGCTAGCTATAGAAGGTAGGTGAGAAGGGTAGGACGACAGAGCCTTAGATACATAGAAGGGACGTAGACAAGGGTAGATATGTAGAAATGAAAAGATTAGCGCAGGACATCAGGAAAAGACTCCGAGAAGAAGAAGAACAATATTATTCATAAAAGAACAAGGTCTGTTTTGTACTGCGTTAACTTATGACACCAACACAACAGCTACAACAGTAACAAGACATGATATTTTTTTCCTAATTTACAAAACCATATAAGAAATATGAGCGAAATACGGCCTTTAAACATTTTCAATTACAAGAATTCTTTGATGCATTTTCAGAGCATCCAAAATTGTAATTTATCACGCTGACACTTCCATTAGATAGCTTGCGGTTTTGCAAACAAGTTTTTTTGCAAACTCTCCAATGACACTATCGAACGAACCCCCGACGTTGGTTCATTATCTGTTAATGGCACGATTTCCTTTTTCATTAAGTATCTACGCCAAAAAGAATGAAATGGTCGCGCTTAATTGAAAGCTTTAAAATCAATTGTTCTCGACCCTTCAACCTTCTTGATGTTGTAGTTAAGCGAAAGAGCTTTGATCTTTCGAGTAGGTACGGAAAATTATGATTGGATGGACGAACTCGCGTGTTTTACGTACATTTTTTTCGAAAGCGTATATTAGGTGATATCACATCCGTTTCTAAAAGCAATTAAGTGGAGCCCAGCGTGGCAGCTCACTGCGGAATTAGCTCGCTTATATAATAAAGCGTTCGAGGTTATATAAAAAGGTAGGTAACGAGAAAATGTAATTACGTGCAAGGTGTATACTTACAACCTAAACTTCTCATTCCATCGTGGATTAAGAGTATGAGATTTAACGGACGTGGCGCGTATGAATTTAGCAGGTAGCGCTCCGCCGATACTGTCTCTTTGTTCTCGGATGCGACCCTCCTTACGTTTAAAGCTCAGCTTGAAGCTGTGATGCTTCCGGAGCTTTTCGTGATTACCCTGCCCGTCATTGCAGGTTTCCGAAAGAGTGCGATTGGATGCTAGCGGTTGAGGCGACGAAGGCGCCGGAACCGGCTGTATTCCCAACATGCAGTAGGGGTCGCTGAAACCTAAAGAGAAAGAACTTATTAGCAACCTTCGCTTTTGCTGAACTTCTTTTGATGCTGTTTCAGAAAATAAAAAATCCAGTCAATCCTATTATACTGCGGAAATAAAAGAACCTAAACCTTTCTCGAGATTGAATTTCTGCAGTACAACTTTCTGTACTTCGCAAATAAGAGCATCCACTACCGGATGGATGTCCCGAAGGAAGCAGAATATGTAAACTATTCTGAATCCTCCGTGCACTAGTAATTTTTTCTTCATTGTTTTTCGTTCCTTATTTCAACGGCAGTTGGAGAGGTATTTAAAATATGCAGAGGGTGTAGTAGATGGAATACAGGAACAAAATTTAAGGAATTCAGAAAAAAGTGGATCAGGAATTTGTTATTTTTTCGATCATTAGCCTTCGGGTACAAGTTTAGAACCGCATCGACAATCGACAAGTAAATGAAGGAGGAAGTGCAGATTTTAAATACACATTTACGAGTTGCAAGTTCTCAAATTCCGAAGTGTAAATAAAATTAAACTCTCAAGTGTGATATTTAATTATTTAGTAGCATTGCAAATCGCTCGGGATTTGCCTGTACTCGATTTAAATTTCTAAAGAAACCAATCTGCAAAGGTATTTACTAATAGCTCTCGATAATTTACGAGTAGAAATCTCGAAATGATTATTGACCTTCCTTAATTACGTTTAATGCTACTTAATCGGTAGCAATCCGGCTGTAGATTAGTTTGGGTCTTTGCGAATACTTGTCGCGCACTTTCCAAAACGTCCCTAACGTATAACTCATATAGTCACGGATTAATGTGTCAAGTAGTTTAATGGAAACATCAATTTGACAAAGCTCTTCCCTGTAGTTATGCAAACTGGTTTAGTTAAACGACAGTTTCTTGACGGAACTTTTATGTGTAAAATGCGTTAATAATAATAATAATTTATTTATTAGTCCGAATGATCGCTTATTGGATATAGGACTCGTCAATTACAATGTGTGGTAACAGTAATAACAAGATAAAATGTACCTATATCGTAAACTATTAAAATCTAACATCACATAAATACACAAAAATAAATATAATAACAATGAATATATGTAAATAACCAACAAATGTACAGTAATAAAATATCACAGTCAAAGATCAAAGTTGTAAGTAGAATACAATACTATAATGACTAGAGCTAAGAAGAAAATGGAGTATTTAAATATTCATCTACACAATAAAAACAATGACTTAGTATATGTTTCCTTACACGATTTTTAAAACAATAAAATGTCGAGTCCCTGACATTACTAGGGAGAATATTATAAAGTTTCACTTGATAGTAATACTTTTTAGACTTGGAAAGCCTGAAGTAAGGGGTTCGCATATCGTTAGCCTTTCTAGTGTTGTATTTATGAGTGCTGCCATTTGTCAGTACCGAGGATTGCTTTTTGTGTAATTCTAGAAGTGCACAATAAATGAATATAGATGGAAGAGGCATGATTTGAAATTTACAAAAAATACTTTGACCGTGTTCTCTATAATGTTCATTGGCTAACATCATGACGACTTTCTTTTGCATTGATAACACTTTTTTTACTTTAGAGGAATTACCCCATAGGTTAACACCATATATTAAATGAGAGTGAAATAGTGCAAAATAACATGCCTGAAGGGTGGTGGTGTTAATACATTTTTTTAAGTTCCTTAGAACAAACGTGGCCTTTGCTAATTTACTAACTAGGTAGTCAATGTGATTGGTCCAATTTAAACGGTCGTCTACATAAATTCCTAGAACTTTAGCGCATTTTCCTGATGTAAACTTGGGGTTAGAAGAAAACGTAATTACTTGAGTTTTTTCTTTATTTAGTTTTAAATTATGGTGCGCAAACCAATCATGAGCAAGTTGCAACGAGTTATGGCTCTTGGTGGTTAGTATCTTGTGGTCTTTATCAGTGACGTTGGATATATAAACGTAATCTTAAATGATGAAAGTTTACAAACAGTACATTAATACTCAAATTACTGTATAAAAGTTTCAATTTTATGGTTTATGAAGTTAGTGTAACGTTTTATTTTATCAAATTTATTATTAGTATTCATCTCAGGGCGCCCAAGGCAAGTAGTTTCTCCTAAAACTATTGAAGAAACTTACTGAGATGCTGGAGCCCATCAATAAACACCAATGTGCCTAACAATCAGGAAAATCATGTGAATTTGCCCTCTGAATGTAGCTGAAAGGGCGATCTCCTAAACCTAAAATAACCTAGCGTCACCCTTCTTTTGAATTCCTTAAGAAGTTTTGTATGAATTTGCTTTCGTAAAGAATCCACATAGTCCAGGCGTCAGAGATCGAAAATTATGCGATTAATGAGATATAACCTAGGGAAATTTTTTTCCGTCAATATGTTATGTTTTTATATTAACAAAAAAAAACCGGTTTTGTTTACGTTTTTTCAATATAAGTCAGAAACTATTACCTACTTTTACACAAAAAATATTTCTATAAGAAATTGAAGAGACAATTTATGTATTCACATATGATGAAAATTAATTGAGAGTTGAGACTCAAAAATGTTTATTTTCTAACTGCTATCGATTTCGACGAGAATGTCATCTTCAGGCCGAGCTGAAAGATTTTACATGAAAATGTGTATAGTCTTTCAGCTCGGCCTGAAGATGACATTCTCGTCGAAATCGATAGCCCTTAGAAAATAAAAAATTTTGAGTCTCAATTAATTTTCATCATATATTAATAATCAGTCAAACAAAAATGGAGTCCTTCATCAACAAAGTTATGTATTCACTTTTTTGTAGGTCCAGTACATTTATCTACAGTTGACGATTAATGATGTGCGGTAACCTTCAATGTTCAGTCTTATACCTACCTACCATACGAGTGATACAAAGCGATACATAATCTTAATAATTCGCTAACCCATGAAAATATATCGCAAAGCAATAATGCAGAAGCGTTTTGAAAAAAAAATTTTGGTGGCACTATGTTACAACCTTAAAAATTTATAAACAACACAACAAATTCGTCGAGTCGCGCACCTCTATCGTGTATTGGGATTTGTTTTTCCTTACATCCCTTATCTTAAAACAATCCCTAATGGGCGTGTTGTAATTCTTGAAGTATTTTTTTCTTTTAGAGAATTCGATATGAGTTGCCCCCTTGGCTTGGCCCCTTTGAATATAACACCGTTTTGAATTTAATATCGTGAATCAACACTACTCGCTATTTACAAAAGCTGTTCATTTTGAATATATGGATATCATTACAAACTATCTTATTTTCCAGGTCAAAATACATAAAATGACCAAGGAAAGCATTGAAATTAAATTTTCGCGAACTAAAGAGAATTTATTTTGTATGATAGAATTTAAAAAACCTCAAGGTTTGCACTCAAAGAATCGCTCTGAAATATTTATGTCAACAATATGCGCGATTAACTCGTTATAAATTTCACAAAAAAAAACCTGCATAAAAAACCCACATCAAATTCAACTGTCTGTCTTTTCGAAGTCACACTCGTAGCACAGTGTCTCGGGATTTAATTTACTGAGAGTAATTAACCTGCACTGCGTTAAGAATAAGACTACGACCAAGAAATGCTTAGAGAAATGTGTTTCCCTTGAACTACTTTCGTATATTATTCGTGGATTTGAATTTCGAATCATCAGTATTGTAACTGCTTACTTACAACTACAGCAGGATTTATTTACAATTTGTTCATTTTTATGGGTTAACATATTTTTTTTTTATTGCCTTTATTTTATAGTGGGCGGAGTGTTAGCTAATTAGCTATTCTCCCCACTCAACCCACTATAGACTATACAATCACAAACAGCCATGCCTTACCTGGGATTCGAACCCAGGACCCTTGTAGCCAGAGTTATAAGATATCTTATAATGGTAAGATAATAAGATAATCTTATAATTAGAGAAAAAATTCAAAACAGAAACACTGTCATTGGCTGTATGTACATATCACTAGTCTGTAATAGTACATTATTTATATCAAGGTAGAGAAGTACAGTATTATTGCCTGAGCACCAAGATTACATCTCGAGGCGCTTGCGCCGAGGGGTGTAAGGTGCGAAGGCAATAATAGACTTCTCTACCGTGGTATATATACTATTTTTTTCACTACTAGCACTTGAAATCCTCTAAATTAACATATTACATTGATAAGAAAGTGAACGGTTGGATAGAATTTTTTGTTTCTTAATTTAACATGTCAATCAAGTACGTAGAAGTACAAGTCAAAGAGGCCGTATTTTGTTCTGTCATTGAAATATTTTCAAAGAATAATTTCGTTCGAATTTTTTCAAAATGTGATAATTTTAAGTAAGTAATATCTCTGGAAATGGCGGATGGTGACAATTATTCATTTTAGAGAACTTGTCTAAACGTTTATTGAGCGAAATTTTGGGCTGTGTTTTCTAAAAGTGACAGCGTGACAGTTCTCATTATTGACTACTAGTTAATAATGTCCACATTATTCACCACTTTGAACAAATGCCGAGAAAGTCTACTTTACAAGTAGAAAAAATGTTAATAATCATACCTATCATCAGACGCTAGTAGTGAAAAAAAAATCAGCTTCATTTATCCAACCGTAACCTAGTTATATCCGTTGAAAGTTCGTGAAAAACCGACTAAGAATTGTTTTTTTTCACTACTAGCGTCTGATGACATGATTATAACCTTTTTTCCAATTGTAAAGTAGGCTTTCTCGGCAGTTGTTCAAAGTGGTTAATAATGTGGTCATTATCATGGGTATCATGGCTGATGGTGTCGAATGCCTTTGAAAAATCAAGTAAAAGCAAAATTACCGCTTTATTTTCCGACAGAGCCGCAAAAATGTCATCTGTCACTTTGAGCAAGGCCGTTTCACAACTGTATTTATTTCGGAAACCGGATTGTAGCTCAGGGAGAATATTAAAGCGAGTGAGATGCTCAGTTAGTTGACAGTATAGAATTTTCTCAAAAATGTTGGACACTACAGGCAAAATA